CATACGTGAAGCAATGAAATCATGACACAGGTATTTGTTTTTTTTTTCTAATAAGACCCAAATTTAAAAAAAAACTTTTTGCCTCACCTGTGAAACTTTCTAAAAATAAATTATAATTTTTGTTTAAATTATGTTTGTTCGGGACAAGCTTTCTCCAGTTCGTTTTGATTTATACAAGCCTTGTTTCTATGTCAGGGTATGAACCATTTGTCACATTTTTAAAAAAAATTATGTTGTTCAGGCAAACATTTTCAATTCAATTTTAACTGTCACATACACTGAAAGATTTCGATTCATTTCTTAATGGGAAATAGAATAAACGTGTTTGCTTAGAGATCTTACAGGAACAAACTGGAGAATCTCTCGAATAAACGCACATGTGAAAATATAGTTAATGATCACAAACTTTTAAAAATGATACTTAACTATATGAATATTTTATTAATATGGCACTCTGTGGCTTTCGTACGGAGCTACAAAAGTGCCATCTGACTTAATTGCAAAGAGGTCCTTAACTGCAATACCCTAAAAGTTTGATGACGACATATAGAGATAGTTTTCACGGAATGACGACATCATCGAAGTTGGGTAAAAACACCTTGAGACTGCGGGATGAAGACAACCAATGGCACTTTCAGAGCTCCGTCGTACGGTTTTGGTCTAAATACTTTTATTCCATCGTTGGCAACAATGTCGCTAATATTAATGTGACACAGAAACTTCCCAATCACCGCATCAAAATGTTAATAGTAATTTTGTATTTCAAGATTGCTCATCGTGTTTGTTTTCAGAAAGTCGAGGCTTTTCCGCATAATTCACTATAATATATTTATCCAGTTTCCAGTGTCCCTATCCCTGGATACCCGATCGACGTCTATTCCACAAGTCTCCCCATTAATGATGATTCTCAGATCCTTTTTGCATCTTGGCCGAATTTTTCACTGAGCAATAAAAATTATCTTTTTATCTGATTTTATTCCCGCAAATTAGGAAATTTCATTGTTTGCATTGGTCAGGAAACAACTATAATATAACGAGTACTTCATGAATTTAATTTGTTGTTATTGACTTTCAAAACAGCTTCAGAGCGGTTCTGACGGACACATTCAAGTTAACGTTATTGCCGTTGTACATCAAGTCTTATTTCAATAGTAGAAATATTTTAATGTCCTTGATATGCGAATTCGTGCGTCGAGCTCAATTGGCAGGGCTGGGTTTTGCCTGATTTCAAATAATCATTCATTGGTGCACTCTGTTTAGGTCTAGCTCTCGCATGGTAACGATTTCCTTGTTGAATTGGGTGTAAATCGTAATTTATACACTTCGATATTGTAAACTTGAAATTACAATAAATAAAGAATGAGTGCAGAGATCGTGAAGTGCCATAAGGTATGTGTTGAGATCATCGAAATGGCAAACCGTTATAACGTTGATAAGTGAAAACTTCGAGAGATTTTTCCTAACCAAATTGGGGGATTTTCAAGTCAGTTAATTTCTATTTCATTTGCAGATTAAATTGTATGCATTTACGGATTGTCAGGAATCAACCGACAAACAGCAGACTTGGAACGGTTGCGGGTTT